CGCTGATCTTGATGCTGGTCTTCTTGACGATGGCCTGACCTACGTTCCGCACGAGCTCGCGTTTGTCGTTGTACGAGGTCAACGTGAGGTTAAACGCCAGTCGAACCGTGCTGGGCACGATGAGGTCGTTCCCTCCGAGGTTGGGGAATCGAACCAGCAGCGTTTGGTTCTGGTCTATATTGCTGGGATTGTTGGTGATGGTCACCGACTGGCTCACGGCTCTGGCTCCTAGAGGCTCCCTTGATCTCCTGAAAGGGTCTAGCTTCCTACCATATGGTATTGTTATATACATGAAACATATAAGTTTGATATAATTCAATATGGCTGAAGGTGGTGGTTACGAAGACATCCCGATGGATGACGTGTGGAATAATAGTGCCCCCTGGTTAGAGGAGCAGGAAATCTCATTCACGCAAGTCAACGAACTCGTGAAGCAGGCCATCGCCGAATACTACAACGAGTTGAAGCATAAACACAACGTCGAGCCATTGGGACGAACCTATTCCAAGTTCACCCTCGACAAGAACAGCACGCTGTGATTGAAGGCTCACCCGGAGATCAATCTCGTGAGCAAACGCACGAGAGACCTGCTTGCCTTATCGACACTCATCAGTCGCCATGGGCGGCAACGGATCCGCGATGCACTAAACCTCACAGATTATCGACCTAAGCTTCCCCCGAAGGTCGTCCAAGATCTGCAAGCTACCAGGGCCGAACTCAACGATGAGCCCCAACGTGCCATCGAACAACTGTTGGCCACGTACCATAACAAACCCTTACCTGGGTTTGAGTTTACCGTTCGGGGGAACTGCGGGGGCTGGACAAGGCCATTCAAACCATTCGTGGGTCACTCGTGGACAACACGGCCAAACTGGACGCGATAGATGCCCACATCGCCCGTGAAAAGACCAAACTCAGTCAGGTAGATGACGAGTCTCTGAAAGCCATCATCGAGGAATGATTGCTCAACCTGGAAGAGGAAAGGTCGACCCGGCTGGAAGCGGCGTCCTCCTTCTGAGAACAGCTTCGGTCCCAGATCAGCCGCGTGCGGGAAACCATCGATCGAGTCCTCTACCAGGACACCACGCTAGCCGACAGGATCCGTATCCTCTTCCGAGAGCAAGGGATCACCATCGCCAGCACTCTGACGGCATTGGGCTTCATCATATCGACACTGGTTGTCACCCCCTATATATTCGATACATCAGGAGCGGGCCCTCAACACTCGGCTCGACCTAGTCCGCGTCGGTGATGATAGATGGTCGGTATACCCATCGTTCGGCGGCAAACTGTTTGACCTAGAAGATGTTGAGAGCACGACCATGGCTCGAAACAAGCAGTATACCCTCGGCTTCACCAACGACGACAACCGGGTGTTTTTTACCCTTTCGAGTCGACTGGTTTCTCAACATTAGGCTCGGCTCCCCCTACATGTTCACGGAGATCAAAGACAACTACCTAAACAAAGTCGTGAACAACGGAACCCTGCTCGTGGCTTACGTCCCGACGCAGAGGCGTAGCGTAGTCATCAGCCCACTCTCCAGTATGGCAGCACACATGCTGTCGAGCAAGCCCGGGACGCAAAACGTGGGGTTGCAGGTGGTGTCTGAATTCGAAAGCGTGGTCAACATCCTGGACAGTCTACCGGCGAACTCCACGCTGGTCATCCAAGTCTACCTAGGTGAACCATCGCAGTGCGAAGTGGAAGTCGTGAAGGGGATCAGACTCCAGTGAGGGAAACAACACCAGTATCACGTTTGCACTGTTTACGTGCGTGTGGGGGGTCGACTCCCACACCAGTCTGCAGGGTGTCACCGTGACCGTGGAAAACACGATATCACTCACCAAGATATTCCTACCCGACAACATACACCTCATTGGGTTGAAGTGCACGCCTGAGAAGTTATCAGAAAAACAGTTTGAAACTATCTTGTAATAATAATATAGCAATGACCAGTCATTGGCCCAACATCGCACTTGGGGACCTAGGAGACACAGAGGGATTGGATAGGTACGGCGAGGAAGACGCCTTGTACGTCCTACACTTGAAAGACAACGTGTATGGGCGGGTGTCCCTGGCAGACTTTAAAGAACCCGAATGGTTGATCAACATGACCCTCACCGCCCCTTACGTCTCTTTGACCCAGGATGGTCATATCGTCGAAATTAAGAACAACGTTATCTTGCTTGGGCGTTTCACCATGAATTATGATATAGGAGTTTCCCAAACACCACATCGCCCGGGCAACATGTTAGATCCAACCAGGGATACACGTTTATCATTCAACTTAGACGCTGGCCTACCATATTCTAGGGTTATATCCCCAGGCTCCACGCTCATCATAGAAGTCTTTTTCAAAGGCGGCATTGATGTATTTGGATTGGGGCGTCCACCCTGGCTCCTTTTACCTGGGGTGACAATAAATGCGCTATACAACTTTACATTTTGGCCCCACCATTGTCGTATGGTCATACTACTGAGCTCGGACCCCTCACTGGGGTTGCTGTCCCCTTAATAAGCCACGAGATGGTTAGTATAGAACAAAGGTTACCTTTTGACACTTCCCTAATTAACCTACCCAAGAGGCTAGGCCTTGCAAGCCTCAAGTACATTGATCGACTATTAAATGAAGCCCAATTAAAAAATATCTTGTAGTATATATTATACGCACAGGTTGGGCCTGTACCCAGTCATAGAGGAAGTAGCGAAGACACTGGAAACCGTAGACGGGTTCCGCTTGAGGCAGTTATGTGACGTAAAACGCCAACTAAAACAAGACCGCGACACACGGGCAGCATTATGTAAGAAGTAGCATAGAGCTTTCAATGTCATGGACGGGGCCGATACTGCCCTTATGACAACCAGCATGGGACTAGGGGCGGTAGGTGTCGGATTGTAAACCACCATCATGGCCGCACCCATACTGCTACGCATCGAGATAACAGCTGGGGTGTCAGGGTTGGTGGGGTTGGTGTTTAAGTTTGTATCCCGCAGACTGCAACGTAGAGCTTTGAAACACGACGAGATCAGGGTTCTAGCTGAAGCAAACCTGAACACGGTAAATGACCATATCTCCACGACACTCACAGACAACAAGATCTCGGAGGAGGAGTTTCGTTTGGTCCTCTCTGAACTCACTAAGTACGAGATGAAACAAGCGATTGGAACCAAGTCTCGTAAGACTGCCGTCAGCGAAGCCGAGAAAAAAAGTACATAGAACAAGGGGTACAACAAGCCCGGCAAGCCTTCATCACGAAGACCAAAGAGCTCATAGGCAATTCACATTAAACTGTTTCGTCGAGGTCAACATTGCCACGTGGCCAGGAAGTGTTGGTTCGCGGTCATAGTGACCAGGAAGTTAACTGGGGATTCAAACAGTGGTATACACACTAGCGGAGAGAGATAAGGGCCTGACAAAAGCTTTATTTCATAAATAAAGCTTTACAGAGTCTTTTTCTTGGAATTGATCTCGTTCTGCTATTGTATATACTACTCTGTTCACAAATACATACTACTTTCAAATAGATTCAAATTATTCTAAACTGTAAATAGCGAATCATTTCATCTAATTTTGTAGACTTTTCCCTGTTATTATGCATTTCATGCCTTTGTGGAAATAATTGCCCCTGAACTTTGTTTGAAAAATAATTATTGATTGTATTGTATTATATTTGATGTAGCGATCCTCACATAAGCTGTTGGCTTGTTGTGCCAATCCATATTCATGTCATGTTAATATTTCATGAATGAAATATGGTTATATCAGAATGTTTGGAGCTTAACTTCAACCACAGTATAACATCTTCAGATTTGTCTAAGACAGATACTATAAAAGTGTTTAAAATCTCATTTCGAATAAAAAAATCCAACCATACAGCCTACTTTGTTGTCTCTGTTCCCTGAGCCAGTTTGGTCTGAGTTAACATCATCTACTACAGCCCGGGTACAACATGCTTCACATAGTCACTCACCTCGTCACACTCCATCTCTTGCAGTGAACTTCGGCTTTTATTTGCTGATCTAAGCTTATTATTCAGTGTTGAAAGTATTCTACTTATCAGATACGATCGTGTAATATATTTGTGTTCAATAGTGTGGTATACAATTGCGATATTTACCAACACGTGACGGAGACAGATTATCACGCTTCTTTTCATAAAGGGCGGTATCGTATGTCATGGCTCGTTAGACACACACAACTGTAACTCTCTAACTTATGATTACTTAGTGAATAGTTGTATTTGATGTATAATCTATATATTTATATATATTTAAAAATATTACATTTCTGCAATAGTCAATATCGATGATGTCAGATCCTCCATTTCATGTTGTATTTTATGTTGCATGGGAGCGGTGTTAACATCAGCAGTAATGCTTGTTCACCAATCCCAATTCACTTTCATGAATAAAAATATGTTTAGACAGCTATCAACTTTACGTTAACACATTGCATGTTTATAAAGAATGTTCAAATCAAAAGTTGCTTATTTAAGAGCTATAAACTTTTATGCATTTATTGTGTTTTATGTATTTTTTTATTATTTATCATGTAGATAATAGAAATTACTGTCCGAATGAATGCACAAATTATAATGACATTATTCAGCGTGGTTCTTGTTCAGTTATTTTCCGGTGAACATTTTAGTATTAACCGTACCGTTGAAAACACATTGACTGCCCATTGTCTAGAATTTGTCGACCTTAACGACACCCCTGCAAATCGACCAGTTTGGTTTTACACCCATCAACATGAAGTGTAATTGTTACGCAAATGTAGAAACTACGCATAATATTAAATTGCAATGAGGATATTGGTATGTTCTCATTTCTCCTCCATGCCAATTCGCCTACAGCCTTAGAACAACATGTCAAGGTCTGTTGACTGTTGATTACGCAATATTACATGTTCTTGTTTCCTGTCATTATGTACACGTGAAAGGCTAATTATCGGTTGTTCACCAAATATTCCTTGTCTCAATATATATGTAAGATTTACCTGTAGAAATTGATGGAAGAATGTAGCAAAAGGAGGTAATACATGTCCAAACGACCAGAGACTTCGCCATAACGTTGGTTGCTCAACTCGCCAAGTTATCTTGAAAGATACAGAGCACGGTCTGCATTATAACTTACTTCCTGGTTATATCCGGCTAAATGTAGGTCAAGTACTACAGGTGACTAACAACGCGATATGCATTCACCCAACACGTTTTCAAGAGTGGTGCGATAGATAGTTCGCACAATGAGGATTTGTTCAGCCCTTAGCGACTTGTTAAAGTGTAATGCTCACTTAAGGTAAACAACTCAAGCAATCCCTTGTGTAAATGATATGAATCTCCTTGGCTACTAGCTACTAGGAGAGGGCCCTAAACACTGACTGTCTTGTTTCTGTGTTCCTGTTTTCTAAACCTCCAGATTTACCTGTCCCTTCGTGTGGGGCAGAGCAGGTGACCAGCTGGCACATTTTAGTGGGATGATGTATAATTACATATGCATGGCAAAAGTGTCCTTCGATTTCACGTCACCTCAAGCAGTGAGATGTATTACGTAATCGTCTATCATTTATTCACTTTTTACTTAGTTACTTTTACCTCTACCAGTCCAACTAAATTTCAGGCAAAACATATTCTGAATCGGATGGTCAGGCTCGTTGACTTGGTAGACACATGCCATCGTATTCCAACTGCGTAGATCGATGTTCCTGCTGTTGGTCACTGGATTGTCTGGTCCAGACTCGAGCATTTACTGACCGCTGTCATGCAGCTGTAGTGCGGCGTTAAACTGCCGGTACTACTATAAATTACTACTGCTACTCTGTCTGTGGGATAGCCTGGCGTTATAATTATTTAAAGTCCAGCCAAAGACAGAATAGATCACTGCTTGTGTACAATGGGTAGAACGTGTTAATACTTCTGAAGCGACATACATGTATACTCACTCACCAGTTATACTGCGTCTTTCCATGTTAGATATCAGCGACACTGACACACACACTTCCCTGTCATTCTACCAGGTATCCCTTTGCTGTTGTGCGAGCTTGTACATATTCCGAACAGGTCACTTGTCTAAGAGGACACCGCGCGGCACGGTTCCCTATCTACCAGCCTTCCGCGACCTAAATTGGGGAATTTCGAGTTTGTTTTGACTTTTGTGTTGTACACAGGATCACGTGTCTCCACACACTCTATGCTAGTAATAGTCATCGACAAATGCAGTTGAGGCCTTATCTGAAATACATTCGGGTTGTCAACAAGGAAGTAGTGAGGCATTTATGAAGGCTAGATTGATATAGTACAACATTGCCGCCTCAATGATAATTCTCCGCGAAGCAAAGCAAGTTATCCGCGGAGCAGTTGTGAATCTTTCTTTCTACCTCTGTAAAAGGACCACATTGCATGGTAATGTGAAACTACTGCACTTACTAATGAGGAAAATACCGTCACGTACTTTGAGATCTAATGTCACAGGATACCTGGACAGCAGTGGTCACACAGATAGGTCGTATTACATGTAGTTAACATCGACGACAAATACAAACATTCCCATTAAATGTTTCTACAAGGCATGCATGTGCGACAACAGACAACTACCCCAAACCCAAAGCTTTTGAAAAAGTTCTTCTTTGTTGAAGACAGGTACAGGACGTTTGGAAGTCTGTTCTTACATCAGCCAGGTGAAATATGTTTCACTTACACACCGTTGTTACAACTACATACACTGACAAACATCAGTAGTCGTCTTAGTTGTGTCGCGCCCTGTTAAAAAGTGGACAAAACGTTTATTTTTTCCTTGACCGGCAGAGGTTTGAGTACAAGCGAACAACACAAAACCCAAAAATATATAATCTTGTATATGGAATAAATATAATTCATGAGCATATTTCATTAGGTATATACATCCGACGAGTGACCTTTATCGTGATAGGTCAAAATGTCCTGTAAATACTAGTAGGCCATGGACATTTCCTTTTGTCTTTTGAGTACAAATATTACTGCCAGACAAGTTACTGAAAGAAATTCTTGTTTATTGTATAACTGAATATAACCTGCTGTACAAAGTTTGAATGGAAGACTGAATTTGGTTTTACCCCATTTATGATAATATTCAAGCCATATCAAGACATCCAGTCTTCGAGCATAACAAAACTAACGACCAGACTACTTCATCACATTTACAGGAAAGGACACAGGGCATCAGTTGCAAAATCATTCATTATGCTATTTGGCAACCAATCCTTATCTCTCAACTTTTAACTATACGGGTAAACTATACGGGGTCGTGGTTTGCGAGCTGTCATAGGCGCTAGGCTAGTGATCCAGCGAGCTTGGAGGTGCCGGGATTGAGCCCACCTGTGACCAGGCGTAAAATACCTTGGAGTCAACCATGCGTGCAGACTCGTTCAGTGTCACAACTCCTAGTGTACAGTACACAACCCTGTGCACTTAAAAGAACCCACGAATCCTTGGTTTATGACCAGATGGTGGCCACATGAATACGTGCAAACACCTAGTTGCGGGTACAGCAACGTGCAGTAAACTTGGACGAAGTACTGTGACTGTGTGTCCCAGTCCACCCAGCTGTGAATGGGTACCATTAACTCAGTGTGCCTAGTGACAGCAAGAGTTGTATGGTTCCCCAGGGAGTTGAGATTGATAATATGATGTGCCGCTGAATTGCCATCCGATTGATCGAGGGAAAAACAAAGAAGCGCTTTGAGCATGCATGTGGGATGGACTATAGCGCTATATAAATATCCAAATATAATAATCATAAACACATGCTGGTTATTTCTCATTAAGAAAACGCGACCTGATATACCGAGTCTTGATATACTTGACATGTTTAATCCGTTTCATCATGATGTTGCAAGAAGATCATCCACAATGACATACATGTACTACAATGCCTTACAAGTTCTCCATCGGAATGTTACGATTGCATATAGACTGAAAGTGTACTACTAGGTATTTGAGATGCAATACTTACCAATTGTATGTATGCAGCTTCGGTTTGTTTGGTTGGCTGGTTTGTTGTTTAACGCCGCTTTCAGCAATATTCCAGCTCTATGGCGTGTAAATAAAGGAGTCTGGACTAGACAGCACAAACATCGCTCTACGCAACTGGGATACGATGACGTGTGTGAACCACGTCAGCGAGTCTGACCACCCGATCCCGTTGTTCGCCTCTTACATCGAGTATGTCTTGCTGAAGATCAATTCTAATCCGCATCTTCACGGGTCTATGCAGCCTGTATTTTCTGTATCTGATTGGAGCACTTAAATATTATTTGCTGACTTTGTGATACCAAATACTGAACACTTGTTAAGAATAAAAAAGAGGACAAGAAATATGTGTACGTGTACCTTTAATGAAGGTATTTTGACACTAGCGCTTTACAAATGTATATGTATATATATGTATGTATGTATGTATGTATGTATGTATGTATGTATGTATGTATGTATGTATGTATGTATGTATGTATGTATGTATGGATGGATGGATGGATGGATGGATGGATGGATGGGTGGATGGAGGGATGTATGTATAAAAAGAGTAATAATGGTCATTTATTCTTCTCAAACTTCATCATTTAAAACAAACCTGAACTGAAGAAATATAGTTTATCTAGTTGGGGTAGTACAAGCAAAGGCGTGCGTAACAGTCTCGTGTCAGTGCGTAGGGTAAATATTTGTAGTATATGTACTGAATACTGATGTTCTAAAGTTATAACATTCTTGTGTCTCACATCCTTGTTAGCAACGTTGAAAGAAGTCAGTGGAACGTTTTGGCCGTAGATCGTATAATATTACCTGAATGTGCACAAAACGAACTCATCTTTCCGAGAAGCATCTTTATCGACGAAGGAAGAGAGATAACTCTACATGCAAATTCTGCATTGTACAAGATTAGTATTCACAGGATAGATTATATCCGTCACTGTAGAACTGAGGACTGTATGTTTCATACTATTTACACAGATACGTTATATAACGATATATATCGAACATTCAGGTATGAAAGCTTAGTCGGTTCAAGTAAGCTTTCAGCAGATTCCTGGCTGTTGAAAAATGACGGATGCTTTTGACAGAATCTGACCCTGAAGTTTCACTATCTATTAACTGTTTATGTACAAGAAGTATGGAGCATATCACAAATCTGAACCAAAACTTAACCAAGTTGTTTTCTTTTGTCATGATTAGGCCTCATAGTGAGATTGTCCAATCAGCGAGCAGAACTACTGACCTATCATATAATCAGTAAAAATCTAAGATGGGTCTCACGGACCTCAAAGTAGACCCTGTATCGTCTGTAACAGCCATCTTTAATTTTCCTACACCCACTTCACTCATTTCACATGAAAAGTCTGGTATATATATTTGTTATTTGGTACTGTTTTCTATAAGGAATAATTCCGAGTTAGGAAATTAATTGAAAATAATCAAGTTTAAGATTTCATTAATACGATTAAATTAAACATTTCAACAAGGTTGAAGGAGTTGTAAAATCAAAGACTGGACTCAACCGTAAACTGTACCCAAATCTCTACTTTACTAAGAATGTGTAATCGTAAAATACCCCAAGCATTGTGGGTATCATGTTTCAACTTAAAAAGTAATAATATCTCTAGTTTCCGGCGAAGGTGTAAATATAACAAGCGTTGAACATATGATGTACACTTAGTTATCCGCCTTGCAGCATGTTTTAATTGTTTTTGTTGGTTGTTTTTATCGACGTACACATCAATTTTCCTAACATTCAAACATGAATAAAATCAAAAGTATGAATATTTATGAAAATGTTCTAATTGTTGTGGCCTGTGTACGCTTAAACACGATCCACTCTTATCATGAGCATCTTACCTTTCAAATCAATAAAGAAAACCTATTTCAGTATTCCTCATATAAAGTCCTCTAAAGGAGACGATGTACGTGAATGATGTAAGCTAAATACAGGAGCTGGTGGTGAAGAATTGAAAACGTACTGAAACCACAGAACTCAACATTCAAAATATACTACCAACGATCACTAAAATGGAACCTGGGAAACAGTTGCCACAACGAGTATTACATAATCTGTGTTTTTATGTACTATCTTTAAATATAAATACAAACTAAGTTTGAAAACCCGAAACAAACCGATGAATGAAAGTTGCATAATTCTGTCAAATATTCATTTTAAGCTGTAAACATAGTTGTGTAAACAGTAATAGTGCTGAATTGGTATTTGCAGTGTATAATGTATTTACTCCATGTAAATTCATTAATTATTATCAAAGAGGCATAACTGATAATAGTGGAAATGCCAACATGATAAAATCATTTCAAGGAAGGATTAATCATTCCGTCTGTGAGTGACCAATATCTCAGCATATGTTCATATTACTCGATCGTGCTGGCAAACCAAAAATCATAAATAAACCAGTCTGAAATTGTGATAAATTTCAGTGCAATCTACCGCACCTTAGATGAATAGGCCATCTGTTTCTCGCCTTCCTTATGATACTGTTGAACACTGATACGAAAAAAGCATTTGACTGGAAACATTCTTTGGCACCTCAACTGACGACAGGTATCAAGTACGGAGTGTGCAGTCGTTCAGATACATGTACATGTACAGTACGACAAGAACACGCATACACATTCCAATTTCGGGATATGCTTATTTCATTTGCCCTGCAACAGAATAATCAGGGTTATCCTCTACTCCAGATATAGTATCATACGGCGAGCTAACAGTCTCAGAAGTATTGGTTCCCCTATGACAATGGTCATAGTCGTCTTCATCTGTGTTCTTTTCGGCCGAACTGAGTTGGGCAACTGCCTGGTTTGCAGAGGCAGCAGTGTCGTAGTCATTCTGTTGTGTCTGAGTGTTGGCTTTCTTTTGTGGAAGTGATTGTAACCATAACTATCTTCTCTAATAGTTCCTGGTTGAGCCACCGAGGCTGTTGTATCGTAGTCACTGGTCTGTTGGGCGGGCTTGTCTCCAATGTGATCATACTCGCCTTCAGCTGCAGAGGGTGTTGAATTGTCGTTTGCAGTTAGCTTCCCAGCAGGTTCGATTGTGAAGTAAGTGTTTGTAGTTGGAGGAAGACCCATGTCGTCCGCGGTAGCGTAGTCATAGTCACTGTTGTGTGTCTTCAGGTCCTGGATTTCATGGTAGTTTTCCTGTGAGATCTTACCGGCTAAACTGTAGGTCATGCCAGACTTTGCATCCTTCGGAAGTGATGCAGTCTTCTCCTTCCCTTCGCTTTTCGCTCGTCTGGAAGTTAATGTACAGACACAGGTAACCTTAACACTAATAGAGGTGTATATAGTAGCGTTATGAACATACTTCATTGCAATCTTAATGCAAGTAATCAATATAAATCTCTAAGGGTTATTCATGAACTATTCAGTGATGTTCCAAACCTTTGAAAGCTACCTTGGTAACCCAAGTTGGAGCATGCGTGTTGACAGTTTGTCAGTATCACATGTTGTAAATTCGATAATACAAGTCAACTCTACAGACATACAAAATGGAGTAATTAAATACTTACCTGTGCCGTATGATCCACACTGACACCAATGTGACAACCAGTACAACTGCGACTGTGGCCACAACTCCTCCAGCTATTGCACGAGCGTTACTTTCTGCCTGTCCTGAGATCATATCAATCATTGTTTCAGTACATGTGACGTATTGTTATATACATAGGCGAACAAACAATTAAGTTGTGAATGGATAAATTAAGGGTGGGCGATTAAGGTCACCGATGCAAATTATCAGTTACCCATGCCTGCTGTAAGAGAGCCGTCTAACACTACTGGTTGATACATATATCATAATTGCTTAGATCAAGTTGTAACGTTAATCACTGGATCGCACGGGTTAGACTATTGGTGGCCACATAGCTGAAATATTGGTGAGTACGCGTACGGCGTCAAACAAATTCATATAGATTACCGGGCACCCATGATTATCATAAGAACAGATCGGAACTTATGCCCTGCAAATAAATATATGCTCTTGATTTTAATCACTGGATTGTTTTAGAATGTAACTATTTATTTGTTTGAATTGTATTGTGTAAGTCAACACACACAATAATTAATTGCATTTACGTGTGTGTGAGGACATAAATCATGAATGATTTTACACGTTGTCTTTTGCGTTTACTAGTATTCCATTTCTGCAGCTACAGCTGTCAAAATGTTCCCTCTTAATATCAAATTGGGACCTGAATGTATTGCAAGATGCAGATATATATGAATGCAACTAGTTATATGTTTGACGAAATCATAATGATGTGAATGTATTAATTACTGGCCTTTCGGAACAAAGCCGGCAAGTACGATATTAATCTTTCAGTGACGTTCCTAAAATTAAGACCCGTGAAGATCCGGGGTAGGTCTTCAGCAACCCATTCTTGTCATAAAAGGCGACTGCTTGTCGTAAAAGGCGACTAACGGGATCGGGTGGTCAGGCTCGCTGACTAGGTTGACACACGTCATCGGTTCCCAATTGCGCAGATCGATGCTCATGCTGTTGATCACTGGATTGTCTGGTCCAGACTCGATTATTTACAGACCGCCGCCATATAGCTGGAATATTGCTGAGTGCGGCGTAAAACTCAACTCACTCACTCACTCACTCACTCCTAAAATTAAAATCATCATTGGCAATGAGCTCTGACATCCTAAGTGTGAATTTATCCTTAGTTACTTGACTGGAGATATGCATGGCGTTGTTTTGGGTGATCTTGATCGTCTTCATATAGCTTGAAATTAGCTGAGTGCAGCATTGAACTAAAAAAACCTAACAAACCTGATGATATGCTGTCATTTGTAGTGGAATCATGGCTGTATGTTGTTCTTGTGTTTGTACCTGTTTGATCAAAATACACGTGTTGGACTTATTGAGATTAAAATGGCAATGAAATATCCCAGAAGTGATCGGACAAGGAATATAATTGTGCATTAGTTATAATTTAGTATTTCGTGGCTGTCTACCTGTGGTTGTGAGTGCGCCAGGTTCACTTGTCCCATGCAATGGCAATGTGACTCAAGCATAATATCGTACAGTTTTGTCATCATACAATTAAGCATCAGTAATACATCAATAATATGGAACTAAACGAAAAATACACGCAAGATAAGGTATTATTAATCACTATTTACAATGGTAGTTTACATTTGTTTACGCAAGGACTGGTGATTTCTCATTCTACTATTGAACATACAGGTATATGTACTACATGATATTTACTGAAATTACTTGTACAATGTGTGTACAATAGCATGTCTATTGTCCGTCGTTCTTACCTTTGATCAAAAGCCAAATTGATGAGTGCTTTCGGATATCTTTGAAGTGGATATGTAGAGGGAGTTCAGTTGTTACGTTGAGTCTCTCAAACGGTTTGAACACTGTTGAACATTTCTTCGTTGTGATTTCATTCCCAGGTCGGACAGACAAGCATATTCTTCCATTTCCCTGATTCAGTCTCACATCAAGAGCATATACTGATATCCTTGTGGCAGTGTCATCAGACTTGAAACTGCACACGTTAGTGTCGTTTTGTTTTGAGCAATCGGGCATAAGTTTGTTTCCATGGTTAATCGCGGCTTGAGATAACTCTACAACACCTCTGCTGATGTTCAGGGAATCACCTTCTGGAACATTTATAGTATCAGACATTATATACGAGGCGATAAATCTACCTACCTTAATATAGAAATCCTCAAAACTTCGTTATCATACTAGGAGAAATATCAGGATTGCCGGATGATAATTTCTACCTTTCTGATGAGATAATGATTGCTTTATGTGCACATAGGTGCCGTGCCCACACATGATTATCCCTTAGAACTCCAGTTAAATCATATTTGATACTTTATGCTGGTGTTGGCACATGACATTATTTAATTTAATGAAGATATATACACGTGTTGAACGAAACCGTGGTATTATTATCTCTCGCAGGTAGAGGCAGAAATTCAAATCTATAACAAAGCCTGCAAATGTACCTAAAAAAAAACAGCATGCGACTAATTTGACATCTGGTACAACATAGAAGCGGATTGCATTTATTTTCATTATTCTCAATAATTACTAGGGTTAACTGTGAATGCTTTGCTATAACATGTTTCACAGTTTTAAGTCCCTAGAATAGTGATCTATCTTCAGTTGTTGGCGATCCTCAGTCTTATTTTATATTGTATTTTCCTAATTTGAAATCATATTTAGAGATATACGCTAGTTTTATTTTCTATTACTGTGATATACCAGTTGGTTTTACTGTCCTTCGTCGACAGGTTTTTAAAATTTGTGCATTTGTCATGAATTTATAACTATGGCACCCATGAAAGGCCACCTCCTCGTGGTGGGTGCTGGAGTCACGCTAAGCGCCTTTCAACCCCCGTTGTGGACCCGGGGGGATATTTTTGGTCCACCAACCCGTTTGCCGTGGGTTGCGCCCCTGTGTCGGTGGAGGACGGGAGGCTGGTGGTTGAGGGCACTTGGAGCCTGGAACCGTGTTCCTTTTGCCCAACACACCACTTCGCCCCTTACTTCACCTAGACGGGTGGTAGAACTGGCCAGTTCTATCAATCGGCTGGTCACGTCATGCCCTGTGCATGGAAATGTTTTATTTGGATTAATCATGACATACAAAATTGTTGATTAAAGACTGTGACAACCTTATTATTGCAAATTTACATTTTGCCTAGAGTCCTATGCCAGAAGGCGGTGGCTCATGGGCCAATCTGGTGGTATAGACCTCTGAATTCTGAGTTTCTTAAGAAGAATGTCAAAGCCGAACCAGCTAGACACTTCTTCTTTTTGATTTCTTAGCTATTTATGTCTGTATTTCTGGAGTATAGCATCCCTGTAGCTCTGATCGTGCAGTTTGGTTTCCACTGCAGGGTCGTCCTTATTGACACTCGATGGCGGGTGGAGATCAGGGTTGCTGAAAATCATTATAATACTATGGCTCACAACATTCCCCTGGTTCAAAACGAATAAACGTAGACACCTTTCAACATCATCTGATGATGAAGTCTCTTCAGCGGTGGTGGATTCATGGCCAAGATTCTTGGTTATTGAAACCGCAGATGGAAGTCCATTGAAACTGAATCCCTTTGCTATATCGATGGGTATCAAAAGTGTCTGTGGAGAGGTAGCAAACGTCACACGTCTTCGTTCTGGCTCCCTTCTTGTTGAATGTGCCCGGAGGCAGCAATCTGTAAACTTGTTGGGATTACAACAATTTGTTAATACACCAGTTGTTGTCTCTGTGCACAGGACATTGAACTCTTGCAGAGGTATCGTCCGTGACAGATCTCGTTGTCTGGCGTATATGACAGAAGAAGAAATTGCTGATGAATTGAAACACCAAGGCGTAACTGCTGTTAAGCGGTTTACCAGAAAACAGGAGGCAGATATAATTAAAACTAATACTTACCTGTTCACCTTTGGGCTGTCGTCTCTACCAAAAGCTATTAAAGCTGGTTACTTTAATATCCCAGTTGATGTTTACATCCCTAATCCGCTGCGATGTTTTAAGTGCCAAAATTTGGACACGGTGCCAAGTCATGCACTCGTAAACCAGTATGCTCCCGTTGCAGTGGGGCTCATGATAATACTGAATGTACCAAAGACATCAGATGTGCTAACTGTAATGGTGAGCACATGGCATCGTCAAATCATGTCCTAATTTTGAACTCGAGTCAAAGATTCTCAAAATCAAAATCACTAACAACCTCTCCTACCACGAAGCCAGAAAGTTAATACCTGCACAGTCTCAAACCACTACAACTCGATCATATTCAGCCACTGTTTCTTCCCTGTTCATCATCCTGTAACAAAGGTTTCAATTTCATGCCAGACAGCCATATCTTGGGTAAAGGCCAAACAAGTTACACTCGATGACTCCACCCAGTCCTCTCAAAATGAGCAAAGTTCGTCAACAACTGCCTCACAGACAGAACAAGAACCAGAGACACAATCAACTCCAGGAAACATAAGCCATTTGTCAAATAAAGAAAGAAAAAGATGCGTAGGGCAAAGGCCCTCCAGCATTTAGAGGTACCATCTACCTCGTCAACATCCGTGACGGTTCATAATCCGTTTGGACCTCTTGATATGGAGGTCACTCCCTCACAGCCAGGACGAGGGAGTAGACATTCTTCGCGGTCAAGATCCCTGTTGAACCGCCATGAACAACTCTATTAATTTAGTACAATGGAATTGCAGAGGCCTTAGGAATAATTTTAATGATCTACAGTTATTATCACAAGATTTTAATCCATCGGTTTTAGTTTACAAAGAGACCTGCTTGAAAAGTACAGATAAGTTTGAATTGCGTCGGTACAATTCATTCCATTCATTCTCACCTCCAGGCGATAAAGCCACTGGCGGCGCCTCTATTCTCGTGAGGCAGGGTGTTATCCATAGCTCGGTTCCTCTTAAAAGCAATCTTCAGGCTATTGCTGTCCGTCTTTCTTTACAGATAACCTTTACGCTTTGTTCTTTGTATATTTCTCCTTCTTCAGCTCTTCAGCAGTCCGATCTTCAGGATCTCTTTGACCAACTTCCTCAACCATGTATAATCATGGGAGATCTAAACAGCCATAATCCTTTGTGGGGTAGTGCCGATACCAACAGTAAAGGAAAAATCATTGAGGACTTCATTTCAAACAATAATTTATGCATCTTTAATGATGGATCTGTCACATATTTACACCCTGGTTCAGGAACGTATTCTGCACTCGATCTGTCGCTCACAGACCCAAGTATTTATAACGAATTTAAGTGGTCTGTCCACGATGACCTTTGTGGAAGTGACCATTTTCCTACAATACTTTCCGCTATAAACCCGAGTGATGACCCATCTACAACAAGGTGGAATTTTAATAAGGCTAACTGGCCATTATTTCCAGACATTGTGTGCTGACAAATTGAAATCTGACTTTTTGTCAATGTTTCAGATCCGATTGAGTTGTTCTCTGCTAAACTGAAGAATATTGCCGATGAAACGATTCCTAAGGCTTCTGCTAAACCACATGTTCGTAAACCATGGTTTACTGATGATTGTAAACAAGCTAGGAAGTGTAGGAAGAAGGCAGAGAAATACTTTCGACGTCACCTACAGTTCACAATTTAGATAATGTTAAAATAAACAATGCCAAGGCTCGGCGTACTTTTAAACAAAGTAAACGTCAGTCTTGGAAGAACTTTTGTATCAAAGATTAATTCCCGTACGCCAATGACGAAGGTGTGGAACATGATACAGAGAATCAAGGGCAAAGGTAGAAATTCTAGTGTTCATCATCTCAAAGATGGAGACGATCTTTTAACTGATAAAATTGACATTGCAAACAAGTTGGGTGAAACTTTGGCTACACATTCTCACTCATCAAACTATAATCCAAAGTTTCAGAAATATAAAGATCATCACGAAAACTTAAAATTAACTTTCACTCTGCTAATGGTGAAGATTATAATGAAGTATTTTCCCTACATGAGCTGAATACTGCCTTAGCGCAAGCTCATGATACGGCAACAGGTGCTGATAATATCCACTATCAGCTCTTGAAACATTTACCCAACGCATGTCTTGAAACACTTCTGAACATTTTTGATAATATTTGGACAACAGGACACTTTCCTCCTTCGTGGCGTCATGCCATTGTTGTACCGATACCTAAGCCTGGCCGGGATCATACAGATCCATCAAACTACAGACCTATTTCACTAACTAGCTGCGTTTGCAAGACCATGGAACGCATGGTCAATAATAGATTAGTATGGTTTCTGGAATCAATAATCTTATTACTAACATCAATGTGGTTTTCGCAAAAATAGAAGCACTATTGACCATTTGGTTCGGCTGGAATCATTTGTTAAAAATTCCATTGTAAATAATCAGCATACTGTATCAATCTTTTTCGACCTGGAAAAAACATGATACAACATGGAAACATGGCATTTTAAAGAGATTTACATGACTTTGGTTTGAGAGGCCGTTTGCCTCAGTTTATAGCACAGTTTTTAGCAGACAGACAATTTCAAGTTCGTGTTGGATCAACCCTGTCTGACCTTTATAATCAGGATCAGGGGGTTCCACAAGGTAGTATTTTGTCTGTTACTTTGTTTAGCATAAAATAAATAGTCTTTCAAACGTATTAAATGACTCAATAGATGGGTCATTGTTTGTGGATGATTTTAACGTTTCATGTCGTGGTAAAATATGCATACCATCGAGAGACAATTACAGATGTGTTTAAATAAAATTCATAAATGGTCACTTGAGAATGGCTTTAAATTTTCACAGATAAAGACCAAATGTATACATTTCTGTCGAAAATATAAACCTCATAAAGATCCCGAACTGTACTTGGATGGCTCTCAATTAACGTTGTAAAGGAAGCCAAGTTTTGGGACTGATTTTTGACAAGCATTTGACCTTTTTACCACATATTAAGTCTTTGAAGACTAAATGCCTGAAGGCACTCGATTTATTGAAAGTCGTGTCTAATTCAAGGTGGGGAGGGGATCAAGCTACGCTCCTACACCTTTACAGATCACTTGTCCGCTCGAAGCTTGATTACGCCTCTATCGTATATGGTGGGGCCTGTAAAAGCAACCTCAAACTACTTGATTCTATCCATCACCAGGGTCTAAGACTTTGTCTTGG